AATAGTCGAATGGCGGGATTCGAATCCCTGACCTCGTGGTCGGAAATCCGTACCCTTAACCATTAGGCTATTGACGCTTAAATAACAACATCTTTAAGAAATTATATAATTATTTCCCCTATTTTTACAGTCCGCGAAGAAAATTGTTTTTTTCAAGTTTATGAAATTTTTTAAAAATATTTTCTTCATTTACAGTTGGTTTCGTTGAAATGAATAATTTGACTTATAAAATAAATTATTTGTTAATGAAATTAAATTATTTAGAGCGGTAGAGCGTGGTGGTTCAGGGGTTAAGCACATGACTTGTAATGAAGGTCCTGGTTTCGAATTCGGCTATGTACCTATAAGTTTTTCAATTATCAATTTATATATGTACATTTATCCGAAGTTTTTTACAGTGAAGGAAAACTACGTGATGTGACCTGCACATATTAGCAAATAAATTTCAAAGATGTGTGAATTCCAGGAAGAAAAAGACGGCGACGCAGCTTGCCACCCGACTCGTCTACCGAAATGGCGAACAGTGGATTACGGAGGTTCATTTGAACACGCTATTTGAAGGACCGTGGTTACAAGCGTGAGTTGTATTTGATTGTTTCTTTTTCTTATCTTAATCTTTTTCTTATTCTTATCTTTTATCTATTTAAATCACTTAAAACCGAATAATTGCCTACAGTCACTTAAAACCAAACGTACATATTGATGAGAAATTCAATGCTTTCAATTCGTTTTGCATTTTTGTTTTAGAAATGCATTTAACAGTGACAATATTTATTTTGAGCGTGAATATTTGTCGGTCACAAATATTTATATTTTTGTTTGGTTCGTGCAAATGGCTCTTAACCGTCAACAAAAATGTGATAACACACATCGGGCACACGAATGAAACTGTTTGTTAACATTGTAATAGGGTTCCATCAATTTTTTGGGTTCCGTACCTCATAGTTAAAAAACGGAACCCTTCTAGGATCACTTTGTTGTTCGTCCGTCTGTCCGTCAAGAATATTTTTCTCAAAAACCCGTGAATATCAAGCTGGAACTTATTTTATCTTATGAATATAAAAAAGAAGAGGCCATTATCAAGTATTAGGCCTAATAAAGCTGGATAAGCAAGAGTGCAAGGAACCGTGATATTTTTCTCGCTTACAGAGGTCTGTTTACCCTTAATTCCAGTGGTGTCCAGTGTGACTAACAACTAATTAAAAAAAATCTACTGAACTATTTTAGAGAAAATTACGTAAGTATGACTTTACTAAAAAAAAGCTTTTTGCTACAACAAATTTTGTCGGATTAAAGGTTAAAATCGGTCAATGATTCTCGCTTGTAGATGTTTCTAGCTTGTCCAGCTTCAACTGTATATGTAACTAAACATAATTATTCACAATGTTTTAAAACATTTGAAACGTTACAATCAAAGACAATCAACTTAAACATTATGGGTTTTTGATCGTTTTTTTGGTGGCGTCTCGTACTGCCAACAATGTAGTTAAGTTTTGACCTTAATAGTGGTAGACGTCAGCAACAGCATCTATTGTACTATAGCCCTTACTCGGTGCAATACCACACAGAAGACAAGCGTCAAGTGGAGGCAATTACACATTTCGTTTGATTAGTGTGATTGTCGGAAGCTTAGATTTAGTCCCCTATCTTTAAAGGTCAGGTTGGGAAGGATACTAATATAGTAATCATTTGTTTGGTCCACATAAGCGAAGCTAGAATAAGGAATGATTTATTGATCCTTGTATCTACAGAAGGTTCTCGAATTTATTAATAATTCAATGATTCCGAAGCGGTTTCATTATGGCCTGTTTCTATTCCATTAGCCACTGTATTAGTTTCATTTCGTTACGTAGACTACATTTAAAATAGACGCTCTATTATTAGAAATAGGGTTTTATTGTTGTATTGTTTCGAGAAATTGTGTCGTCTTTTGTTTTGTATTAAAGTTTATTTTTAAAATAATATTAATTATTGTTTACCCTATTTTAATCTTTAATATTATAACTTTTTTTTAAGAAATCATTTAGAGGTGATGTGGCATTCTAAAGGTAAAGTTATCTTAGAAGTATTGATTTTATTTATACTTATAGTATTACTAGCTACATGTGTTCTTCCAGACTATGTTCTATGCTAAAGTTCAACGAGATCCGTTAAGCACAGGAGATACGTTCAAACAAACATCCATCCATGCATGCTAAACATTCACATTTATAATATTAGTAGCAGTAAGATAAAGAAAAGAAAAGATTTGACTGTTTGTTTGATTGCATTGAATAGACTTCAAAACTACTGAACTAATTTGAAAAATTCTTTCACTGTTGGGAAGCTACACTATCCCCTTGTGATATAGGCTATATTTCTTATGTTACTAATATTATAAATACGAATGTTTAGATGGATGTTTGTTTGAAGATATCTCCGGAACGGCTAAACGGATTTCGCTGATATTTGGCATACATGTAGAACATAGCCTGGAAGAACACATAGGCTACTTATTATGTTTCTTTTTAATTCCGCTCAGACGGAGTTGCAGGCGACAGCTAGTTAGGTCATAAACATATAACAGTCATTTCTCATCTTTATGATATTGTAAATTGCAAAATATCATATTTATCTTTTATTTTTTAGCGAAACAAAAAATAAAAAGTTAAGAATAACTTTCTTAAAGCTTTTGGGTATTCTCGAGCAACGTTTCCACAAATATTTCCGTTGCAATATTAACTCAATAAAATATTCAAGAGGTCTCAGATTGTGAAGTTATGTTCGGTGTGAGGGGAGGAATGTTTATTCTCTTTTAACGCGGTCGCTTCGTTGTTCATTCCTCGTAAATTATTGCAGAATTACTGATATGGAGGTTTCGGAAAGCTCTTTTGTATCATCATCATCAGCTCACTATACGTCCCCATCGAGGGGCTCGGAGCCTACCCTAAATTAAGAGTGATTAGGCCATAGTCAACCACCCTGGCCCAGTGCGGGTTGGTAGACTTCACACATATCTTTGAATTTCTTCTCAGATATGTGCAGGTTGCATGACGATGTTTTCCTTCAGCGTAAGAACGTCGGTTAAATGTAGATATGTTAATCGGAAATTGAAAAACACATTGGTACATGGCGTGATTCGAACCCAGGACCTGCAGATTGCAAGTCAAGTGCTTGACCCCTGAGCCACCGACGCTCCATTATCTATATCTTTTGTATATAAATTAGAATTACATTTATTTTAGTTACAATTTACTATGCAACATTTTTTAAAGAAACAATATATTCTTTTTTGTGTTATTTTTTATTGTGGTAGAAAATAACATGATATATACGGTTTTTACATAAGACGAAATAACAAGCTGAAAATTGAAATTAAAAAATAAATCTAATTGCTTTCAATGCTCTATTTAAAAAAAACCGTCCTTTTTATATAACAGAAGGGGACAAACGAGCAGCGGGAACACCGAGGTGTTCAACTACGCCCATGGACATCAGCAATGATAGAGGAACCACTGATGCGTTGCCGTCTTTCAGATTAGTGGGTTTCGGAGACCTAAATCCCCGTTTAAAATATATTGTTATCTCTATTCTGTGAAAGATAAAGACAAGGATGACAATATGTTTTACACATACATTTTGTATTTGGAATCCAACGGTAATTTTAACATATTCGATTTGACGATAACTTTTAAACTTAATCTATGTATCAAAAAGTATTATATACTTACATATACATAAAACATTACTAGGTCATTAGAGATAATATAAAAGTTTTTTATTTTACATTTCCCTTGGCGAAAAGCAGTCGCATTTATCAAAGTCTGTCACAAAGTAGGCCGCGATGCCTTTGTGATTATCTTATAAAAATGCTACGTCTTGTCTCATTAAATATGACATGTCGGAAACCGAAAACCTCCTTCCGACATTTACGTGTATAATGATTATTTGTTTACATTGTAGGGTTGGGTGAAAATATTGTATAATTTAAACATCAATAGCCTTATAAAAGAGTACGGATATCCGATCTCAAGGTCGGGGCTTCGAATCCCGCTATTTGACTACTGTCGTAAACCATGTCCTGGTACAAGCCCAGGGTTTAGTTGGAATGGTATGAGAAATATTATTAAATTTACAAGAAAAAATTTGCTACTATTTAAAAAAAAATCTAAGAAAGTTCGTTTTAAATTAAACGCATCATTCTTTCCAAATAAAAAAGAAATTACATTATATGAAATTTGGTACACGTATAGAACATAGTCTAGAAGAACACATAGGGTACTAATTTTTTACTCTGCAGGGACGAAGTCGTAGGCGACAGCTAGAGTTCAAATATTTTTTTACAAACGCTTGTCATTCAGTTTTAAAAATCCCATGACTACTTCTTCGTTCAATACTTTGTCTATTGCATTGAATAAATTTTTTTGTTAACTCTAGATTTAAAAAATATAAGCTTTCAAAATCCTCAAAGAGATATTTTATTCATTTAAAAATCGTTGAACGTAAAACCAAACGCATAATTTTATTAAAACGGTATCAATATCGGATTAAACCAACAGATTATAATTACAGGGCCTAGTCCCAATCCCCGAGTACACATCGTATGAAAAACACAGTTTACTGGCCAGTATTTAAACACGTTGCGAAGTAAATAAATAAAAAAACAAAACAAACATTTTGAAATATTCCGGGTTCACGCAGCGGCAATTTGTTGATGGAATTGAAGCGTTCCATGTTTGAAATCTATTCAACATTTTTTTTGTTTTTTTTTTTACATTTCTCTTTATTAAATAGATGCAAAGGATATGTTACAATTTTAAAAATAGAACGACGATTTTTTTTTAAACATCCCAAAATATTGACTAATTTTGAAGAAAGAACCCTCACCACCGCTATAAACCGCTACCAACAGCGCCAAAATCGTAGAAATCAAACAAGCACAAAATATAACATCTTATAGCCTGACCATTTATAAAGGTTTAAGTCCAAAATTGCCTTTGTTTTTATAATCTGTGTCTTACCTGACATCTTCCATCGATACACATATCTAGACTGCCGGGACGACACCGCGTGCCGTCTGACACTCTCGCAGCCAGCACCGCTACTACGACGCGATCATCATCGTCCAATGACACCGTCTGTTCAAAACATAACAATGTTAGTATGTAGACTACAGTGACTCATTGTTTAAATATATTTGGTTTGTTTTTTTTAGGTTATGAAGTGGCAAAGGAGCAAGCGGTCACATAGACATCCGCAACTGCAGTTGCGTTTCCAACCTTTAATCGACGGAGGAGGGGATAGAAAGATGATCCTATTCCCAACCTTTTCGCATAAGAAAAGGGTGGGAAGGGAATGGCCTGGATGTAGATGCCTCTGTCTTTGCAAAGATAATGAAAGAGAAGACATAACATGAGTATGACAATACAAGATTCATGTTCAGAGTTCAAAGGTTAAACACAAACTCAAAATAACATCTCGGTTAAAGAAATGTAACGTAAATTATATTTAATTATGTGACTACAATGTAATATAGGATATAGAAGAAAATGTACATAAGAATAGAGAATCTTCTCCTGTTCCTTCTCTTTTTAACCAGATTCAAGAGAGTTAGGTAATGTTTTATAAAGCGTTAAGGTTAGTTTGTTAACTATATTGTGGCCTCATTTAGCTGAAACGATTGAACAAATATTACCTAGTGATGTGTCTTTCTATTCGCTTTCTTCTCCTTATTTATATACAGTTAGTAAGATTTTTTGGATAGTCAAATAATGAAATTGATTAAAAATAATTAAAAAAAACATTAGGATTTCCCATTAATAGACACCAGTGCAAAACATATTGGATAGATTTCGACTAACGTTACACTTAATGACACATATCACTGTCTCTGTTTTATTAACGAGTAAGTAAAGGATGACAATATGTTTATAAAGTGTCACTGTAGTCAAAACCTACGGTAATAGCAACCAATCACAGATGCTCTTGAACACTCACCAATGGAACTCGAGATGTGTTGCCAACAATTAAAGATATTCTAATTCTTTCCGGTTCCTGAATATTAAAAAGTTGGCATTACTTTCGTAAGACTTTCGAGAGAGTAGAGTGTCTACATAACTCATACCAGGTTGGGAAATACCAGGTTTTCGTACACCAGGTCGATCTGTCTTCTATCAATCTCACTTAAATCTTGTCAACTTTCACGCAATCATCTCTTTCTAGACTCTACCACTAATAATACGGATCTGCACTCTTTTTTGTACTTAATATAATAAAACGTAAAAACCCTTTTTTTCACGCTGATTCTTAGCTATCACAGCATATTTTTGAATAATTATTTTAATAATAAAAAGCCCTATACTTGGGACACGCTTTAGTAAATTGAAACATTTTTTACATTTACAATGTATACAAGTCAAGTAAATTTTTTTTAGTAATAAATGTTAGGAAGAAAATCCGACACTGTGCCGGTGTATCGGAGCAACACTAGCCTTTTCAAAGTTTATGTCTAATCAATCTGACACGTGAGTTGGTCACGAAAGTGCGCCATTCGCCCTAAATTATTCTAACTAATCTTATATATAAAATTCTCGTGTCACAATTTACGTTCCCATACTCCTCCGAAACGGCTTGACCGATTCTCAAGCCTGAGAGCCTGAGTAGGTCTGAGAATCGGCCAACATCCATTTTTAATCCCGCGCGGACGGAGTCGCGGGCGATAGCTAGTAATGTCTAAAATAAAGAAAATAATACTGAATGTTTCTCCACAATAAACATTAGGCGTTGTAATTCAAAGTGAAGCTTTAGAGAGAAAAAGTGAGGGCAATTAATTATAGCATTTAACTGACTTTCCATCGAGCGCCACTCGAAGCGAAAATTGTAAAAGAAATAGACGGTTCGAAAACTTTTTCTTCTAGCACTGAATTCAAAGTTTATTTTATAGTAAAAATACTAATGAATACAGAAGTGCTTTAAGGTTGTTTTTACAAAGTTTTAACTTTGCATTTCGAGACTAAATTAGTTTTTGATATCTTTTTATCTTTTTGTTAGTCTGTAATTTTTTTTACAAAGAGAATTTATACACAAATTTAAATGTATATGATATGATTTTATACGTATTTATAATTAATTATTTAACTACTTCGTAGGATTTTGATGTTATTCGATATAACTTAGATCTAACTTGAGGTGGTTAAGCATTAACTAAGTCAGAGAACGATTCTACCAATGACGAGAACTTGAGACTATTGAATGTAAACTAAGCAGTAACAAGACACTATTAAATATATAACTTTAGTACAATTATCGTGGGTTTCCGAGACTTAAATTCCTGTATAAAACATATCGTCAACAAATCAGAGATAAACAACATGTTTGAAAGGGAGATTTTGGTATCAGAAACCCACGGTTAAAGATTTTTAAATATTCTAATTTGAAAATTGAATCATTTACAGTCCAAATTCAAGATAATTTTAAGTATATGTACATGAAAATATAACATGAAAAATATAACCAACCGGCTCAGGACTCTGTCCGGAATGTTGTGGTGTGCCGCGGCAGGTCAGCGCGCATGGTTCTGCGTCATCTCTATGCGCCCTCCAATGGAACAGCTCTCCTCCATATGGCGTGTTGTCGTGAGCGCTACACTGCTGCTCCCTCCACACATCCTCTTCTAGAAGAGACATGTTGCCGCGACACGGCTGCGAAAGGAAAATGTATATTAATAAAATTCACATATTCAAACTCTTTGGTGATATATGACTGGTTGTAAAAAGTAAAAAAAAAATATGAAAAATACTAGCTGTTGCCCGCGCCTTCGACCGCGATTTTTTGTGTTGTCAATGTGTTTTTCGATTTCCGATTTACATATGTAAATTTATCCGACGTTCTTACGGTGAAAGAAAACATCGTGATGCTGCACATATCCGACAAGTAATTCTAAGATATGTGTGAAGTCAACCCGCACTGGGTCAATGTGGTTGACTATGGCCTAGTTACCCGTGACTTAGGGTAGGCTCCGAGTGCCTCAGTGGGGACATATGTATAGTAAATTGATGATGAAAATGAAAATAGAATTTCAGATTTACTAAAACGGGACAATAAGATTTTTTTCCATCTAATTCCTTAAATAGAGTGCATTTCAAAGTTACAGTCTAGTAAGATTGTTTCAAAACGACTTGGCCGCTTCGCAGCCAATTTCGTTTGGCAACAGTACCCACTGCATTGCATACGCGTCAAATCTAGGACAAGTTTGAGATTTTTTTGGCAGGCGTTTAACTGAGTTATTGAATTTTATTTTAGTTAATTTTCTTATTTAAATTAAATTATTTTTAACTCAATTGAAAGTAATAACGACCTAGTATTTTAAATAAGGTTTAACAATTCAAAATTATGATTCGTATTAACAGTTACATCATCATCATCAGCTCACTATACGTCCCCACCGAGGGGCTCGAAGCCTACCCTAAGTTAAGGGTGACTAGGCCATAGTCAACCACGCTGGCCAAGTGAGGGTTGGTTGGCTTCACACATATCTTTGAATTTCTTCTCAGATATGTGCAGGTTGCATCACGATGTTTTCCTTCACCGTAAAAACGTCCGATAATATACATATGTAAATCGGAAATGGAAAAACACATTGGTATATGCCAGGATTCGAACCCAGGACCTACAGATTGCAAGTCCAGTGCTTGATCCCTGAGCCACCGACGCTCCGTTTACAATGTTTTTTTTTTATTTATATTTTTTATATCATAAGGTGGCAAACGAGCGAGCGGCCACCTGAAATAGCGAAGTGACCGTTGCCCATAGACATACGCAATTGCATATGCGTTGCCTATCTTTAATCGACGGAGGAGAGGATGCACAGAAATTACGTACTATTGCATAAAACTACTTAGTTTATTCCAAAAAAATATACAAATGTCTTAATATAATTGCAGCTCTCAATATTACTGATGCGAATGTTTAGATGGATGGATGTTTGTTTGAAGGTGTCAATGAATCACGTTGAAATTTGGCATATATGTAGAACATAGAACGAATAGGCTACTAATTAAGTTTTTATTTCCACGCGAACAGAGTCGCAGTTAACAGCTAATATGTCTTATAAACATGAAATAATAAGTAAATCGTATGTACTAGATACATACATACAATAATTGCACTAGATTTAGCTGCTTTCATTTAGGATCGTAATTAAATAACATGAGATTAATATACTCATTAATAATAGGAATGTGTCGGTTTCTTAATTATATAAGTTCATCCTACACATGTATGTAAAGTTAGGATGTAAATGTATTGTAATTTAGATAATAGTTGGAATATTAACACGTTTAATTCCACGGCCGATAAGTTCACATTCATATTAAAACGTATTGGCATTGAAAGTGTTAAGTAAAGTAACGTTTATACTGAAATACTTTTTAATAATTATAATTAAAGGAATGGAAATTCATTATTTATCAAAGGAAAAAATTATTTATAAATGCGAAGGTTTGGATGTTTGAACGTATCTCCAGAACGGCTGAATGGATCGCGATGAAACTTGACATACAAGTAGAATATAGTCTGGAAGAACAAATAGGCTGTTAATTATGGTTTTTTAATTCCGCGCGAACGGATTCGCGAGCTACAGCTAGTTATTTATAAATGCGAATGTTTGGATGGATGTTTGTAAGAAGTTATCTCACGAACGGCTGCATGGATCTCGCTGAAATTTGGCATCAATGTAGCATATAGTCTTGAAGAACACATAGGCTACTAAGCAAGTTTTGTTTTTCTGCACAGACGCAGTCGCGAGCGACATATAGTTTACAAGTATAAGTATAAAAACTTTATTGTGATAGTTCCAAGACAATGTCAGACCTAAATATGAAAGATTAATGAGGAATCAGTTATTCTTTTCTCTGTATTCTATTGAAAGGACGCTGAGAAAGCATTATTCCAAGTAAATTGTAGGGAGAAAAGACGGCGAGGGGAGGGGACACCGGGGGTAAGGGAGTCTTCGATCGCAAGGCGAATGACAATAAGAAATGTTATTTGCTCGCCTTATTGACTGCCGACGCTTTTAAATCTGATTGGGTCCGTGTTTTGTTTCTTTGATGATTTTTATAACAGTACCCTCTGTGAGTATTATTTTATAAAAATACCCTCATTTTTTCAAATAAGCTATTCTTATAATTTTATGTCTTTTGTATTAGAATATATTTTTTTCATTGAATTTAATACTATGTTAAACAATATGGATATATTATTGGAATAATTTTTGCTCTATATTTCTTCAAAGTTTTTTTATAGTACTACTAGTTGTTGCCCGTAACTCCGCGTAACATTACAGTACAACACAATTAGTAGCGTATGTGTTTTATCAGACTATGTTTAACATCTATGTCAAATTGCAACGAGATCCATGCAACCGTACTGGAGATAATTTCTAACAAACATCAATCCATACTGTAGCATTCGTTGCGTTATATTTGGCACGTTCACGTACCAACACGTGTTGACGCTCCAAATGTCTGACATCGACTGACTCCCCCTCTCTCCGGCATATACTTATGACGTGTACGCTCGAGACCTACAACACTACACACACATATCTTTGAATTACTTCTCAGGTACGTGCAGGTTGCATCACGATGTTTTCCTTCACCGTAAAAACGTCGGATAAATGTACATATGTAAATCGGATATCGAAAAACACATTGGTACATGGCGGGATTCGAACCCAGGACCTGCAGATTGCGAGTCAAGTGCTTAACCACAGAGCCACCGAAGCTCATAATTCACCTTACTATATTTCAATTGAAAAAAAAATAGAGAACATCAAACTATCTTTTCGTCTATATCATGTTTTAACCTGAGTTTCCACTGTTGAAAAACATATAAAAAATCCTTACGTTATCTCTAGTTTTCTAATTATATTACATCAGTTGTACGAGTTTTTACGTCAGTTGAAACTAGTGGTTATATGTTCATTTTAATTTAATCAAATCGTAGTCGCTTGTTGAGTACAAGTCAAACTATCGGAGTTCCAGTGATGAAATGTGGAGCAATTCTCGCTGTAACAAGTCTACAGTTCCCAAGTTATATAGAGCTAGACCTCAATTACACCGATGTGTATTGGTTGCTCACATATGTTCAACTATTTATTACAGTTTTTTTTTGTGCTTACATAACGCAAATAGAAACTCATAATGACTATTATTTAATAGATATTTTTTTTTTGTAGATGTATCTTATCTTATATATAAAATTCTCTTGTTTTTTTCGTTCCCATACTCCTCCGAAACGGCTTGACAGATTCTCATGAAATTTGTTAGCATATTGAGTAGATCTGAGAATCGGCCAACATCTATTTTTAATACAGCAGCTAGTAATTTCTATAAAGTAATGAAAATGTATTAGATTTTCATAGCGATGTTATTAATTAATAGTTTAAAACTTATCGAGAAACGATGTTTTTGAAAATAATTACATGTTTAGGGTTTCTGTTATTTAGTTTTAACAAATCTGCTAATTTTAGTGACTCCCATAGTCTTGATAAGATCTTGACTATATTTAGTCACTAAATTGACTGAAAATCTGACATCCAGTAGAATCTAGTCACTAGCTCAACCATTTTACAACATTAAAATCCAGTCTACGATCAATGTGGACACATTGTAAGTAAAATATAATATTTTAAAATTCATACTGTTCTCTAAAGTTGTGGGTCGTTACTCTACGGTTTGATATACATCCAATAACGTATCGAAGATGACTTTGTCGACATCTCGGCACTATTAATCATGCGGCGCGGTGAAGGCGGTTGCAACTTTACTGAAGTCAACTGTTAGATGAGTTATAAGTAGAGATTTGTTTACGTAACTTTTCAGTGTTGTATAGAAATATAAAACAATTGCTTATCTTTGATATTTCTTTATGCAGATAAAATATAGTTTATTTTAGAACACATTCTGTCGGTTAAAGGTAGCCAGGTTTGGGCAGAGGTCGTATACTTATTTCGTCGAATCCAGTGGCCATAAATTTTTGATGTCGATTTATTATTCTTATTGTTAAATAGTGATTTTTATTTTATTGTCTATAAACTAAATTGAGTAGAAAAAATCAAAAATAATAAACGTAGCTAGTTAGTTCGAAGCTAGATTTTATTTTAACTTTTCTAAATACTATTAATGATAAAAAATTGAATCTCTTTCGACCCTTTTAGGTCACGAACATAATCTAAACATTATTAATATAATAAAGAATAAAATTCAATGTAATATCGTATAATTAAAGTCTATTTGGAGTAGAATTTGTAAAAGCTTTTTATCGCTGTGTTCGAAAGCTTTTCACAATATCTACAAAATTGTGTAAATATTAATTTTCCGCTTTTCAAATTTGCTCGACGCGACGTCAAATCGCTCGAGAGAACAAATCGACTGAAATGACAAACTGTTTGGAACTATAAAAATGTAATTTTCAGTTAGTGAAATTGGAAAAAAAGACTTCTAATGTCAATTTTTTCTTAATAATGTAAAGTTATATCATCATCATCATCATCAGTCCCCACCGAGGAGCTCGGTGTCAGCTAAAGTTATATAGCAAGTAAAAAAAAATCATTACAAAAAAGGGAAAATATTTTACTTGTCAACGTTTTTAGGTTTTGTTACCTAAAAACCTTGACAAAAAAAAATATTTTTTCTTCCTTTCTACCTTCTTTGGTTTCCTTAGAAAATTATACTAAAGTTTTATTACAGTCTAATGTTTTAATAACGACTACGGAATAAATATTTAAATGTACAAAGGTATAAAAATGTTTGTAGGTAACATATGTTATTATGACTAGATTTTAAGTCAAATTAAAATCTTACTCTTACTATATCTTACTAATATTATAAATGTGAATGTTTAGATGGATGGATGTTAGTTTGAAGGTATCTCCAGAACAGCTGCACGGACCTCGGAGAAATTTTGCATAGATGTAAAACATAGTCTGGTAGAACACATAGGCTATCAATTAAGATTTTTTCATTCTGCGCGGACAAAGTCGCGGACGACATCGAGTTCTGAGTAACTTTAACTTAAGATTAACAGTAAACTGGTACTGCGATTGTTACTTAACTATTCAGGTAACTTATTAATTGATGTTAGCTTGAAAGCGGAGTTTGTACGCACCTTGCATAGCTCGTAGAACTTTGATGTATTACTTAAACGATATATTCAGAGTAAGTACTAAGTTACAATTTGTTTCAAGTAAGAATTTGCGTACACATATCAATAACAACGTTACTTGCGTAATACTCCCTCAACATAATGCCCGCTACCCAGAGGGGTAGCAAAAAAAAACTGTCCATAATTCAAGTTTTCAGTTATTAATATGTTGCTACAAAAACAGTCGACTTTTATAAAGTAAAAATAGAAGTCGCATTCACCCGTGCAGTCTTTAAAAAAACTTGTTTAATAGCCTATCTGTTATAACAGACTATATTCTACATCAGTGGTTCCCAAACTTATTTTGTCTACTGCCCTACTTTGAGAATAAGTTTTTTTTAGGGCCCCCATATTTTCACATATTTAAAAATCACTATAACTTCAAATAAAATTAATTAATTATTGTGACCTACATATGTATATTAACGGTGAATTCTAAACGAAACTTTTACTATAACCCGCATCTTGAGACCTGCAGCGCTCACAAGGGGGCGTTATCGCCCACTTTGGGAAAGACTGTTCTACATCTATGCCAAATTTCAGCGAGATCCATACATCCGTTTTTGAGATATCTTCAAACTAACATCCATCCATCCAAACACTCGCATTTATAACATTCTCAATCTTTTTATAGTTTCAAAACTTTGATTTACTCTTCAAAGATATTGAAAAGAAAATCTATGCAGCATTACTTTCTAAAGTTACATTTAATTCCATAGTCTCTCATCTTTGAATTGCAACAAGACAAACTAGAGGGGTAGAAGAACTTTGAATATTGAAGGATTTTCAATACAATAAATCGAGTTGACAACTAAGTTGTGAACTTAACAACTAAGTTATATCGGATGCATCTCCAATAAATAGATGCTATTTGTATTATCTAACTGTTTCATTCTGAGACCAAAATCTTTATATAAAACATATCCTTAACTCTCCCATTATCTTTTACAAAACAGAGATAATTAAAAAAAATATTACGTGTTAAACGGGGATTTTAGCCTCAGAAACCTACGGTAAGTTAAGAGAAGTGTGTCTTATTATCTTTGAAAAAAGCGAGATAATAGTATTATTCTATTTATGGTGTAATTCGATATAAATATATTTGTAACAATCTTACATCTTACTAATATTATAAATGCGAATGTTTGAATGGATGGATGGATGTTTGAACGTATCTCATACGGCTTGACGGATATTGATGAAATGTATATAAAAGTTTTTACTTAACTCCGCGCGGACGGAGTCGCGGCGACAGTTAGTTTTTATATAATTATGTATTAATTCAACAAAGGATTCTCTCATGCATAACTGTTTCTAGTTTTAACCTGAATTATGAATAATTTAATATATAAATATTGTCTGGTTTAAAATAGTCTTTGATTCAAACATTCACAAACAATAATCCTTCATTAATAACGAAAATAAATTTATATTAATTTTGATGTTAAATGTTTTTTTTTTTTTTTATTACAGAAGGGGGCATACGAGCAGCGGGAACTCCGAGGTGTTCAACTACGCCCATGGACATCAGCAATACCAGAGGAATCGTAGATTGCCGGCCTTTGAGATAGTGATAAGCTCGCTTCTTGAAGGACCCTAAGTCGTAGAGGTTTGGACATACCGCCGAGGACAGACCATTCCACAACGCTGTTGTGCGAGGCAAAAAGTTTCGCGCAAACGGTTGTGGATTGCCAACCATCGAGATGGTATGTGTGTTTTTTAGAAAAGTTACCTTACTGTACTGATTTAGATCGATTAATTGAATTATATTCAATAAGCCGTATAAATTATGCAGAATCACCGCCTAAGTTAACTCCGACCATTAGCTACGAAGTTGGTTGAATTTAATAAACTGCAAGACAAAGAGCAGCTGAGTTCAAAGTTCACTTAAACTATTATAACTGTATACTGCAGGACAAAATTAATAATGCATTTTATAGTTTTCATTGGTTTTATTGTACAATACCATAGTATTATAAGATACTAGCATTTGCCCGTGACTCCGTCTATGCGGAATTAAAAAAAAAACATAATTAGCAGCCTATTTGTTCTATGTCAAATTTTAGCGAGATCCGTTGAGCCGTTCTGGAGATACCTTAAAACAAACATCCATCTATCTAAACCTTCGTATTCATAATATTAGTAAGGTTAAAAAGACAATATTACCCTTTAATTCTACTGCCGTGATATTCGTAATGATATGTGTTGTCTTTGTTGGAAGGGAATTTGAGGGATGGCTGAACAGATCTCGATGAAATTTGGCATACACATAGGCTACCAATTATGCTTTTTTTTTAATTTCGAGAAAACAGAGTCGCGGGCGACAGCTAGTTTGCTATAAAATAGGATTTTCATCAACAGTTTCTATCAGTCTATAGATATTGTAATTACTATTTGTATTTTGCGAGATAAGTGCACGTTAATATGAAGATTTGTCAGAAGATAAAATATCTCGAATAACTATTGCCTATTTTTTTAAATGATAATGTATACTACAAACGTTTTAATATCTTTTAACCATTGGTAAGTGATTTTACGTAAGCCTACGTAACGCCCACTACACTAACGATTAAAAGTTTTTCCTCACTCACGAGATTACTCATATCAAAAACCTTTGACATTTTGAATATACGCACTTTCCATTTACATGATTTATACTAAGTATATTAACTTTTAAAAAGGCTATTTTTAAAACAACAAACATAATTTTTTTTAAAAACGACGTGGAGATGAATTTGACAGGGATGTACATATCCCTGTCTATTTAAAGTTAGAAGCATCAGCAGCCTTTTAACTTATAGCAGAATACAATCTCATTGTTTTTACGGATCCTTAAACACTAATATCCCCTATTAAGTTATTTACCTGCATGTTACATATCTTGTACCGCACTGGCTCTCCACGACAGCCTGCTGGAGATGCGCACGTCCGCAGCTGCCGGGATACGCCGCCATCACATGTCCGCGAGCAGAGAGACCATTCACTCCATTGAGACCAGCCACCGCGATCCTGGGAAAGAAATAAATAGTATTATTAAAAGTACACAGTAGTAATAGATACGCTGTAGATACAGCTACGTCGTAGCAAAAGTTACGATGATGAGGAGCAGCTACGCCGTAGCTGAAGTTACGCACGAGCACCTACTACGCCGTAACATCGCCTATGCCGCAGTGACCGTGATAGTACGAATAAGGCGACGTACGGCGTAGTAAATAAATAAAAAACACATTTCAAAATGAAAGAATGATAATCAAATTATTATAGCATCGAAAGATACTAGACGTGTATAATTTCTATTGGAGTATACAAAAATAGAAGAAGAAATTCTATTCACAAACTTTATAAACAAAGTATAAATAAATCGTGGAAATTGAGCATCAAAACCGATAAGGATGTTATCGATTCGGCATTAAATCGGTACAATTACATATTCCGGTCAGCCGTATGCAAAACCGGTACGTGCCCGAAATCTCTTCCGTACTCGCTCTTCGTTACACGGAACTTTCTGAATATAAATATAATGCTATTGCATATGTCATCGACAAATAATGTACTCAGTCCATTGGTAATATACCTAGAAATAAATAAAATAAATTACTTGGTAAATTGCATATCAAACGAAGTTATGTACCAAACAAAGAAATTCACAAATTAACGTGTCATTTTTCGATTATAATTTGACACTTTGTAATAGTGATAATTTATTAGATGTCATTTTTAATGCAACCAATAAATAATTGTGACAGGTTTGATACAATATCGTGACATTTGTCACTTTGTGAATAAAGTTCGATAAACAATTCGGCTTGTATTTGTGACGTCTAGGCAAATCACAAACGGGATGATACTCGATTTTCCGGTGACATATATCTCTATGTTTTCACAGAACGTGACTGCGCTCTGAGAATGGACTGTTTTGTACTCTTTGAGCAATTAAGGTACACTGCACACCCAGTACTTCGTTTCCTGTTTTAAATTGCTCTGTTCGCAAACACAACGAGCGTATTTCACATGTTTTATTAATGTTTGTCTTAGATATCTTTTATATTCTTTTGTTTTTTGTTCCATTGGTAATTGTTTGTACACGTGTATGTTATTATCTTATAGTAGCTGTCAACCGCGACTCCGTCCGCGCGGAATTAAAAAAAATGATAAGTAGCCTATGTGTTCTATATCTTCTTCGTGTGTGCCAAATTCTATAAAAATCTGTGAGCCGTTCTGGAGATACCTTCAAACATCCATCCATGTAAACATTTTGCATTTATAATATTACTAAGATTAGTAAGATGTAAATTGTATGTAGTAAAGTATGTCTACAGGATGTTCGGGAAATATGTCTACTAAAGACAAGGGATTTCTCAACACCCTGTATAAAATGTTTTTTCTTTTATTTTGTGAAACGAATTTTGGATAAGTATATCAACTTTAATATCATCGAATTACTAGTAGGTTTAAGACATATTCACTTATTCACTGCACTTCTAATTTTTCTTTTTATCTAGATTCATTTTGAACTGCTTAATTATTTAGGGATTACCAATTAAGAATTTAAAAAAAAAACATTCGACTGTGAAACAGTGCTAAAACACACCTTTAGTAACAACTGAAAGATAAACCCGTTCTAGTAATCACACGTGTAGCTTAAAGGCCAACTAATTGACTAAAGTCTTCTGGGTTTTACGGACAATTAGTTTACTTTGTGATTACAAGAATAAACAAGACTTTACTAAGACTAAACGAAAGTTTCTGAAAAGAAACATTTCCGTTATAGTATTTACGATATACGGAGCGTCGGTGGCTCAGGGGTCAAATACTTGACTTGCAGTCTGTAGGTCCTGGGTTCGAATCCCGCCATGTACCAATGTTTTTCTATTTCAGATTTACATGTGTACATTTATCCGACGTTCTTACGGTGAAGGAAAACATCCACTGGGTCAGCGTGGTTGACTATGGCCTAGTCACACCTAACTTAGGGTAGGCTCCGAGTTCATCGGTGGGGATTATAGTGAGGTGATGATGATGATTTACGATAATTCATTGTTACCACAATTGGTGACTAATTTGAAATGTTATAAATATGAATTGACAAGCTGTTGCTCGCGACTCCGTTCGTGCGGAATTAAGAAAAAATTAATTAGTAGCCTATGTGTTCTTCCAGACTGTGTTCTACATCTATGCCAAATTTCATCAAAATCCATACAGCTGTTCTGGAGATACCTTTAAACATCCATCCATCTAAACATTCGCATTTATAATATAAGTAAGATTATCGCAATTGAGAAACAAAGAAATTATTTCTTACTTCATTTGTTTCATATTCAAAAGACAAACCTTAATCAATATTAAAATTAGCTAACAAAGTCGAAACATAACAGAGTGTTCTCAAAAGATTTCAATGTTGTAAAGTAAAAGAGATAATAACAAGTCGGTAAATTCAATTTACATGTGAATAAGTAACGACAAAGAGAAACAAATTAGAAACATATACTTATATATGCTTCATGTATTGCTTCGGGTAAGATGTATGAGAACTTTTGATGATTTTATTATGTTGTTATGTATGTTTAGCTATACAATTTTTTATGATATTAATATATATTTTTTAAAACAGTTAAATGAACATGGTATCATCATCAGCTCACTATGCGTCCCAATTCTGGGGCTCGGAGCCTACCCCAAGTTAAGGGTGACTAGGCCTTAGTCAACCACGCTGGCCCAGTGCGGGTTGGTTGACTTCATACATATCTTTGTATATTGTATGCTAAATAAATAAAAATATTGCTATAATTAGGTATGAAACATTTTTCGGATTTTTACAGAAAGACTTAAGACTTTTATTACGTTTTGATTTCATTTCTTCTTATATATGAAATTCTCGTGTCACAATTTTCGTTCCCATACTCCTCCGAAACTGCTTGACCGATTCTCATGAAATTTTGTGAGTATATTGAGTAGGTCAGAGAATCGGACAATTTTTAATCCTGCGCGGACGGAGTCGCTGGCGACACCTAGGAGTAATATAAATGTGTAAGTTTAGATGCATGGATGTAGGCTATCTATACGGCTTAATGGATCTCGTGAGAACATTTAGGTAACTTAAATTTGTTTTTAATCACGCGCAGACGGAGTCGCTGGCTAAGCCTAGTTTAATATAAAATGCTAAAATAAAATCAAATATACATTTATTGAATATTCGCATGGTTACCGAATAACTCGTTAGTATTATAAATTAAGAATCCTTAAATTAACTTGAAAATTCAATGTATTCCAAAGTTTTCGGTTAACACAAACATGTTCTGAAGAATTTCTAACAACATTGTTCAACACTTCAACTTGATTTATAGCTCAAAATCGTTACCTGAAGAGTTTCGAGCTAATAACAACATAATAATGTTGTTTACGTTTAACACTGTTTAAACAAAAGTTACTAAAACATAATTATCCTATCATCTTATATATAAAATTCTCGTGTCACAATTTTCGTTCCCATACTCCTCTGAAACGGCTTGATCGATTCTCATGAAATTTTGTGAGCATATTGAGTAGGTCTGTGAATCGGACAACATCTATTTTTAATCCCGCGCGGATGGAGACGTGGGCGACAGCTAGTCTTATATATAAAATTCTCGTGTCACAATTTTCGTTCCCATACTCCTCTGAAACGGCTTGATCGATTCTCATGAAATTTTGTGAGCATGTTGAGTAAGTCTGAGAATCGGCGAACATGTATTTTTAATCCCGCGCGAACGAAGTCGCGGGCGACAGCTAGTATTTTTATAGAAAACCACACCCTTTCCTCAGCAGTATTTCCAAACATTACGACTTAGGGGGCTTCAAGAAAAGAGCGTACATTTTCCTTAAAGGCCGGCAACGCATCTGCGGTTCCTCTGGCGTTGCGGATGTCCATGAGCGTCGGATCAAATAATATTAGGCGATTCGTTGCTCGTTTGCCTTCTTCTCCTATAAAAAAAAAACTAGCTAGCGCTCGCGACTCTGTCCACGACGTCCACAATTGTTAATCCAAGTAAAACGATATTGACAAAGCGATCACATCAATATACTGAAAACCATTATACATTGTAACTTAATACCGTTTGAGAAATCTTCTCTGATATATTGCTAAGCCTTCGGTTGTATTTACGTTCAAACCATAACTGATAGCCTAGAGGTTTGTGTTACACTGTCATATAAGACTGTAGAGCTAGTAAAGCTTTGAAAATTTATGTACCATTTGAAGCGGAAGGAACCAGCTACGAAGATATCCAAAGATGTTTATACCAATCCGCACTGGATCAACGGTTGAATATGTCCTATGACCTAGTCACTTCTAACTTCAGTTTGTATAGCGCCTTATAATTTTTTACGGCAAAAATTTTTCCTAGCATTTTCAGAACTTCCTGCCAAAGTACCAACAAAACTTGTCTATAGGTTTTGTTATATATTCGCAAATACAAATCTGTACATAATAGTAAAATTAGACTGTCTGTATGTATTTTTAAAAAACATGTTTCATATTTCGTACGCGTGTATATATCTGTCGGTCATATTTTTGTATGCAGTGTGTCTGTGCGAAAAGCCGCGTTTGTTTAGGATAATCTTCGGAATGGCTGGACCGATTTTGACGGGACTTGAATGGTAAAGTAGCTGATGTACGCAAGCATGTTATAGGCTACTTTTTTAATCCCGACGAAGTCGAGGGCGATTGCTAGTGTTCAATAATTGTTTTATTGTGAATCATAGTACCTAAAAAGCTGTATCAAACAACACTATTAGCACTAAACAAAATCGTTACAAAAATCGGATTTGCGTTAACAACTATTTGAATTTACATTCAAACCAAAAGATATCGATGCTTGGTGTATGGTACAAGTTACAAACTGATTTACATTGATATATTTCTGTTAAGCGAGATTTGTGTCACAATAAAAAGATAAAGAGCTTTATGGTACATTAAAGACCTTATTAAATTAAGAAACCTAATTATTATATATATAATTATTGTTTAAAGAATTACGACATTTGTTTAAGGAGTAAAAAATAGACTATCTTTTTTTTCGTATTTCCTATTTTTTAACTTTTATAATGGTACTAGCAGTCTCCTGCGACTCCGTCGCGCGTTATTAAATAATAAAAATAAGCCTGTGTGTTCTTCAACACTATGTTCTAAATCTATGCTAAATTTCAGAGAGATCCGTTGACCCATTCAGGAGATACCTCCAAACAAACATCCATCCATGTAAGCATTCGCGTTTATATTAGTAAGATAGTTGTTTGGGAGCTACCAAATAAATAAATGACTAGGAAAAAAGGAAGTTACGTTGGTATTAACGTAGGGTAAGTATTTACTTTAGAGATTTTTATGTTATTCATTTCAAAATCGCTACCGCTTATATTTTAAGACTCAATCAGCACGTAGTCACAATAGCACATGCAAACCGTCCCGGGGGTATCGTAAACTTCAATTTGTCAACCGTATCCTCTGATACGCATTTTTTTGCTTTCAGTATTGTCACTCGAAGTCATAAAGTTTAAAGTGAAACATATTTGAATAGGTTTTTATCACAATAGGTTTGTGCAGACATCGCATAGTTTACGAATTCACAGAAACTTTTTTTTTATTATTTATTTATGTTTACAAAAACCAAGATTCAATTTGAAGAAATAGTGTAATTAATTACAATATTATCGCGTTGTTTTTTTACTAATATTAGTATTTTTAAATTTGTTCTAAGTGTGAAAAACTTTTTTGTCTTTTTGTACGTCTGCCCGTAATGCCGCGTTTGTTCCGGGTAATCTCCGGAACGACTGGACCGATTTTGATGGGTCTTTAACAGGAAGGTAGCGTCTGTACGCGGGCATACCATAGGCTACTTTTTCAAAATTCTGTGCCGACGAAGGGTTACCGATAGATTAATATATAACCACAGTAATTGTAACTCAACAACAAAACTCCTGTGACCCAGTAGGCGTAGATCCTAAACCACAAGCAAGATTATAGAAACCTATTTACATAGAAATACAATAAAAATAAGCTACGATAAAGTAATAAATGGAATTGCTATTCTGTAACATTTCGATGTTTCACACAACATTGCTTTTGATAAAACAAACTCTACTTCAGACGCCGCTGAAATGAAACGACAAAAGGTTTTTTTCAGTCAATTTCACGAGCGCCCTCTAGCGAAACGAGATAACAATATGTCAGGAGCAGTTACATAACGTGGAACGAAAGAATTACGTTAAATTACTGCGTATTATGGCAAAGGATATATAACTACTTATAGTACGATTACTATACTTAGTTTCAGACATTATTAGTTAGAATCCTTTGGCGCGAATGACGTGCTTTCATTACAAAGTCAAGTGTCAGAATGATTAGTGAGGGGACATAAACGTCGACATTTTAGAAAGGATAGCATTGTGCCAGTACACCGGCACTGTATCGGATTTTTTTTCCTAACATTAGGTAACAAGTTAAGGGATTCTAATTGCAATAAAAATAACTACACAAGACAACTTACTCTACATAATAGGACACTAAACAAACTAGCATTTGACCCCAATCTACCTCAGCTTTACTAAGTACTAGTCACCCCTAATTTAGTGTAACTCAAGCCTTCAAACACGTGTACGCGTAGACGACAAATTTATCAATGGAAACCACAGTAATAATTAATTATAAAACCATTACGATTTGTTTGCAAATTACAATTTAAACTAAATTATATCTGATCTTTATTTATCTGTACTCGTATAATTAATTTTGAACAATTAACGTGTTGATTGCATGTCACTTATAATGATTTACACGACCTTTATTGAAATGATCGAAACATTCATAAATAATGTCAATAAATATAATTATGTTCATAAATATAATTATGTCAGTCATCAGTTTACATATGTTTTCAGAGTCAAAGCCAATGTGTTAGTGCCTATCCGATTCAAGATGACTTGAGCGTCGGTGGCTCAGGGGTTAAAGCACTTGACTTCTAATCTGTAGGTCCTGGGTTCGAATCCCGTCATGTACCAATGTGTTTTTGTATTTACATATGTACATTTATCCGACGTTCTTACGGTGAAGGAAAACATTGTGATGCAACCTGCACATATCAGAGAAGAAATTTAAAGATATGTGTAAAGTCAACCAACCCACACTTGGCCAGCGTGGTTCACTATGGCCTAATCACCCCTATCTTAGGGTAGGCTTCGAGCCCCTCGGTGGGGACGTATAGTGAGCTGATAATGATCATGATGATGATAATGAGGCCATAGTCAACCCTGGATGGATTAACTTCACACATTGAATTAACTTCACGCAAGTTGCTTTACATCTCTCTGATAGATGTACATATGGTATTTCTAAAATAGAAAAGCCGATTGGTAATTGGCGGGGTTTGAACCTGAATATGTAGCTTTCAGTCCGGTCTGGTTAAACGTTTAAATGCGTCACCAATGCTCTACAATTACGTACTTATATGTATTAAAAATACTGTGAAATATCTACATGAGTGCACTTATTTTATTGCATTTAAATTTACTCCAGAATTCATAGTTTAACATCTCTAAATATAAAAGAAGTACGTTTATTTCCTGGAAAGTTATTGCTTTCACTTTATACAGAAGCCTGTGAGAGTAGATCTTCAAAAATCACTAAAACTTATAGATACCTTTCCATGATGTGTTGCATTATCGTGCCGGACCTCGGCAAGTTCTGGCGTCTCTGTTGATACATCATGACCGTGCCGATGCGCGCAGTGGCCGGGTATCTGCAACAATAAAAATAATATTACTAAGAAATCGTCATATAAGCAACCTGTATATTATGTTTAAATGTTATATAATATGTTTTAATGCACTGGAGGTGTTGTTATTGTCTACCCACTTTAGACAACATTTTTATAAACCAAAATATTTATTTCTATGTACCTGACATCCCCCTTCTTTTAGACTTCGTCTGCGAATTAAATAAAGTAATTTGTAGTCTATATATTCTTCCAGACTATGTTCTATATCTATACCAAATTTCATCGAGATCTATTGAGCCGATCAGGAGATACCTTCTACCAAGCATCCATCTAAACATTCGCATTTATAATTTTAGTAACATAAAAAGAAGGTAATAGACAAGAAAGTATATAATTGTGTTGATAACATCAGTTTAAAATCTTTAACATTATACAATTTTAAGTTTGTTATATTTTACATACTGAATACAGCAATTAAAGTCGTGCAATGAAACAAGAGACATTGTTGATATTAAAATTCGCTTAATAAACTCTCTTAATAAACCTGTCACTCGCAGTGCTGGCTCTGAGTATGTCGCTTTTTAAATTGCCTTGGAATCCACGAGTGTGTACTAATTGATCTGTTAAACAAGGGTTTTGAATATACAAATGGAATACAGTTTACTATTTTATACTTTTTAATTAGCTTTAGACATTATTAGAATCCTTTGGCGCGAATGGCGTGCTTTTATTACCAAATCAAGTGTCAGATTGATTAGTGAGGGGACATAAACATTTTAACAAAGCTAGTGTTGCGCCAGTACACCGGCACAGTGTTGGATTCTCTTCTTATAATTAGGAATTAGTTATCAGGGGTAACAAACATGTTTCCACTGCATTCCTCTCAGATCTAGGAACCCTATTCAATTGCGTTTGAGGTTGGCCACCGAGGAGGTTTTAGCGAGTCTAACTCGTATTTTCGAAGATTTTGCCCCCGATACCATAAAGGGGTACCAAACATTTGGTTTTATGAAATAAACGATTTTTGGCCGGTTTATGCGTAAGCTAGACACTTGCCTAGGTACCAGACCATCACCATTATTTGAGATTTTAATTAAAAAAAAACATGACGAAAAACGACTCGCAATATTTTCTGTTCTAAGCAATATTTATGAAAAGGTAAATCACAAATGCAAATTATATTAAAAGACGCTTCCATATCCGTCATAAAGAAAAGTTTTAAGCTAAATAAAGATTTCACATAATCCGGGGCAAAGTTTTGCTTGCGAGATATAATGCAGTTAAAAAATTTTACGGACCCTCGGTACCAGGCGAGCATAACTAACGTGTACAGGCCTTTATCTAATGTAGCGGGAGATATTCAGTGGGCCGAATAATGTGGCCGCGACCCAACCGCGAACGTGTGCCGCAAGATACAAGATATGCGCGATTACAAGCGATATACATAGTTTAACTATATATCCCTTCTCTTTACAATGGAAATTAAATATAGTGATTGCCGGGGTTAGACAAAGTGCATTCGCTTCGAAGCTATTCCATCACGAATTTAAAAAAAATTATGGAATTGACACGCGACAGTCACGTGACTTATCGAAAGTTATTGTCAGTTCTATACATTTTTGAAGTTCGCTATGGAATCGCCTCGAAGCGAATGCATTTTATCTAACCCTGCTTATCCGACACCGCTAAGTAACGTTTAGCGTAACCACCCAAAGTTGAGTGGTTATAGTTAATTATATAGTTAATTTAACTAGCGTTGAAATGTTGCAATTATTTGCACAAGTATACGTTTTTAACAAATGACTTCTACAAAGTTTTGGCCTGTACTCGTTTTTTGCACGTATTCCTTATTAAAATAGGGAGTTCCTTTTTTTGGTCAATTGCTAACTCCTGTGGACATGGAGCCAGGAGCAGTACGGGACTTCACCGATTTTCACAAGTCCCTGCACGATCTGTTCCTTAGGGCCATTTGTGTGTTGTATTCTTATATCAAGTGTAGATTTAACCACCGTCAAGTCGCTAGTTATAGTTATAGTTAGTTAATGAAACTCATACTTTGTAGTTTTAGACATTATCAGTTGGAATCCTTTGGCGCGAATGGCGCAAAAATAAGTGTCAGATTGATTACTGAGGTAGCATAAACGACATATTTTAACAAGGCTAGTGTTGCGGCGATGCACCGTCACAGTGTCGGAGTTTCTTCCTAACAGTAAAGAGGAATTACTCGAGCTGTCAATGAAAAATGAAGAAATAAACTATGTAACCTTTTTAATGAAAAAAATAATTTTTTACTTGGACCAAACCCCATTGTAGCTAAGTTGAGCAAAGTATCGTTACTGTTCCTGAAATATTATATTTACTTCTTCAATAGATTGCTTTAAGCCCGTATTAAAAAGTAATCCCTTTGCGAAAATTTAATAGACTTCAGCCTTAAGTAGATAAGCGAAAAAACAAGTAGGATGTTAAATTAAGAAGAATTTATAGTCAAAAACAAAAATCGACTAATTTAAAAATCGAGGAAAAACTTTTTGGTTACCTTTATAAGAAAAGAAAAAAATTGGCAAATGGAAACGTTGCGTTGCTATGGATACGGTCTATTTTTATGTATAGCAACCATTGTTTAGTCAATAACGGAATCTTTTCGTTTGCAAGACTGATCGTAAATCAGTAAAATGGTGATTTTACTTGTTAAACGTGGTAATGATAATCAATTTCTTTACGACACTAACGTCGATAAGACCGTGGATGATGTAGTGAAGGATATCACCGCAATTTTCAATGGTAGATTAAAAGTGACTCGTATTTGTTATGAAATGGAAGAACTTCAGAAACATGGAACTTTCCAGCCATTAGAAATGCAAGGATTGACTGAAGAACAGGTATGTATGTATATTATCTTGGAGGAAGTACGGAATTGTTATGTCTGTTTTGTCAAATGTAATGTCATATGACATATGGGATGACGATATGTTTTATACAGAAATGTTGGGCTCAGAAACCCATCATCATCAGCTCACTATACGTCCCCACCTTGGGGATCGGAGCCTACCCTAAGTTAAGGGTGATTAGGCCATTGTCAACCACGCTGGCCCAGTGCGGTTTGGTTGACTTCACACATATCTTTGAATTTCTTCTCAGATATGTGCAGGTTGCATCACGATGTTTTCTTTCACAAGTGCTTGACCCCTGAGCCACCGACGCTCTTCAGAAACCCATGGTAAACTAATTAAATACCGCTACACTCAACTACTCTAACCATGAGTTTCTGACACCAAAATCTTCGTTTAAAATATATTGTTATATCTCTGTTTTGTCAAAGATAACGACAGAGATGACGATATGTTTCATACAGAGATTTTGCTCCTAGACCACGGTAATTATAATAGTATGAGGATGTATCGACTTGATGGTTTTTTTTTTAAAGTGACCATGGGGTTGCATCATTAGTTTAGAATAATATTTCTATCTTATTATCTTTATTTAGCTTAAAAAAATACATATAACAATTATTTGTTTCTGTAGTCAAAACAGTCAGGAAATATATAGCACATATTCAAATACGTAGGAAAGACCAGAAACCAATTACAGCATACAATGTTGCAGATAAAAGAACTGAAACTGGAAGATCCTTGGGCTAAGAAGTGCGCGCCGCAAGATTACATCGTACAAAAGGATGAAATGGGTCGGCGCTGTGGCTTTGCTCCGCCCACTCATTTGCAACAAGTGCTCAAGAAAGCTATGGATACAGCCAAAGAGATGATAAGCAAAAAGCGGGTACAGTCAGCTGCATTAATATGCATACACTTCAACACTTGTATAGGTCTTCGGTTTCAAAAATACGTATGCATGAATTCTTTTATGACATGTAATCATAGTTAGAAGCATATAGACGGATGCCTGTATGCATATTTAAAGAACCGAAAGAGTATACTAATTGTTGAAGCTTAATAAATGTACAGATATTTTTGCAGCTGACTGTACAATTACGTCTTGTACACAAATTATATGATTTTTATGCTAGAATCGTAAATGTCATAATAGAAACGAATTCAACGTCCTTTTAATCGTAGTGTCCTTGTTAATTTCACTTTTTCCAGTAGTAGCTTATTGGGTTAGCCGTACGATTGTAAAATCCATTTCTGTTAAGAGTTTTTATTTGTGAGGTCGTATATTAACATGTAAAAATATTATTCAATTCACAGGTAGATTTACGTCAGTGTCTCACACAAAAAGATGTGGCAAGAGCACTCGATGAGCTTCGGGGTGCCACTAAAATCGTGTTCCCAGCTGGTCTACCACCCCACGATCCTGTGAGAATGGAACTGGATAATGTCGAAGATCTAACTGGAACCCACGCAGCTAATGAAGTTATTGACCCATCAAGAGCATGCTTGTGGGCTTGTGGGAAGAAGTTAATCAGTGGGAATAAATTAAGCGATCATTTAGGTAATTTTATAACATTGTAAACGTAATAAATTGCAAAAGTAAAAAAACTTTAACGAAGATTTAAAGGATCTTCTTTCTTAACGGAGTAATTTGGTCTTTTCATATGTTTGTGTTTGATTTCTTTTCATATATTGTCACTTTTTTTTGACAACAGTCAAAGAAGTCTTTTGATAATTATAACTAAGTAACGACCAGCGGGTACGCTTAAACCCTGTGGGTTTTTAGTAGTGCTGCGTTATCGAATATTAGTTTTGTTAATTACCTTATCCTCTTTAAGGTAAAAATGACAAGACCAAAGTGACGGTCAAGCTATGCTCTACCTCTGAAGGTGCGCCAGGAAGGGAACCGGTGATGAGTGAAGAAGAGAGAAAGCAGTTGATGCTGCACGCGTACAGAAAGCAAGAGGAATGGAAGAAATTGGAGCAGGATGATGACGATAGCTACTTGAACTCAAAATGGGCCGATGGAAAGAATCTTAAGAGACAGTTCCATGGTTTGGATAATATTGCTTGGAGGCCTGGTATGAAGAATTAATGTACCTTGATGATTAGGAGGTTTTACTGAAATAAATGTGG